CCCATGGTTTTTACCCTTCACATTGAAGAGGTTTTCCATATATATCTTGGTGTTCTATTTTATTGTGGCTCCATTTAATTCCGTTACGTATTATGGTCTTCTAGTATTTGTTCATATACAAAGGTTATTCCTGTTTATATCCCCATCAACTGGTATCAGAGCAAAGGGGTTTTGGTGATTTAATTTTTGTATTTGAACATAGAGACCAGTAATGTTTCTCGCATGATTAGTTTAAATGGAAACAATTGGATGATATGGAAACTAAGAATGGAAGATCTCTTGTATTCCAAAGATTTGTATGGACCTTTGCAGGGGGATAGTGTAAAACTCATAACTATGACAGATGATGAGTGGAAGATGTTAGATTGAAAAACAATTGGATTTATTCGACAGTGGCTTGATGATAGTGTCTTTCACCATGTTTCTACTGAAATTTCTGTATATTCTCTTTGAAAAAAGTTGGAAAGTCTCTATGAAAGAAAAATAACTAGCAACAAAGCTTTTTTTATCAGAAAACTTGTGAACCTAAAATATAGAGAGGGTGCTTCTATTGTTGAACATTTGAATGAAATGCAAAGTATTACTAACCAGTTATCCTCTATGAAAATGTCTCTTGATGATGAGTTACAGGCATTGTTACTTCTCAATTCATTACCAGAAAGTTGGGAGACACTTGTGGTTTCCCTTAGTAATTCTACGCTAGATGGTGTTGTCACTATGAGTCAAGTAATAAGCAGTTTGTTGAATGAGGAATTGAGAAGAAAGAGTTCGGCAACATCTCAGAATGATTCACAGGCACTTATCTCAGAGAACAAAGGAAGGTCAAAGTCTAGAATTAGTTCATGCATGGGTAGAAGCAAGTCAAGATCAAGAAAAGATATTGTTTACTATAATTATGGTGAGAAAGGATATTACAAGAACCAATGTAAGCAACCTAAGAAGAGCAAGAAAAAGGGAAAAGAAGTGGACTCTATAGAGTCAAAAGATAATATCACAATTACAATGCAGGGTAGTGATTATTTGATTTTGTCTCCTTCTGATGATATTTTTTCTTATGTGTGTCAGGATCTTGAGTGGGTGATTGACACAAGTGCTTCTTATCATGCTACACCACGGAGGGAGTTTTTTGCTACATACAGGTTTGGAAATTTTGGTGTTGTCAAGATAGATAACTATGACACAGCAGACATCATAGGCATGGGTGATATCCATTTAAAGACCAACCTTGGCTGCAAGTTAGTGCTTAAGGATGTGAGGCATGTGATTAACTTGAGGCTGAATTTAATTTCAGTTGGAAAGCTAGATGATAAAGACTATGAAAGCAGATTTCACGAAAGGCAATGGAAGCTCAGTAAAGGTTCTTTTGTTATAGCTAATGGAAAGAAATGTCATACTTTGTACAGGTTGCAGGCTAAAGCTTATGGTGAGTAGTTAAATGCTATAGAAAAAGACTTCAGTATGGAGTTGTGGCATAGGCAATTGGGACACATGAGCGAGAAGGGGCTGCAAGCTCTTTTCAAGAGAGAGGTATTACCAGACCTCAGAGGTATACATCTGAACCCTTGTATTGATTGTTTGGCAGGTAAACAACATAGAGTTTCATTTGCTAGTCCTACTTTATCTAGAAAAATGCATGCCTTAGACCGTGTTTATATAGATGTATGCGGTCCTTTAAGAACAAAAACTCCTGGTGGATCTGTTGATGTTCTTGGTATAAGTGGTGCACTTTATTTTGTCACTTTTATAGATGATTTTTCTAGGAAAGTTTGGGCCTATGCTTTGAAGACTAAAGATCAGGTGATTAATGTCTTCAAAGAGTTTTATGCTAGGGTTGAAAGGGAGATAGAAAGGAAATTGAAATGCATAAGATCAGATAATGGTGGTGAGTATACAGGATTGTTTAATGACTATTGCAGGTCACATGAGATCTAACATGAGATGACAGTTCCTGGTACACCTCAGCATAATGCAATTGCAGAGAGAATGAACTGCACCATCATGGAAAAAATCAGATGTATGCTTTCACAGGCCAAGTTACCCAAAAGGTTTTGGGATGAGGCTTTAAGGACTACAGTTGATGTGATCAACTTATCACCATGTACAACCCTAGATGGTGATGTTGCATAGCATGTATGGTCAGGGAAAGATGTTTCCTATAAGCATTTGAGAGTGTTTGGTTGTCGTGCATTTGCACATATTCCAGATAATAAGAGGTCCAAGCTGGATGGTAAGAGTAAAGAATATATTTTTCTTGGCTACTCACATGATCATTTTGGTTACAGGCTTTGGGATCCAAAAAATTAGAAGGTGTTTAGAAGTAGAGATGTAGTCTTCTTTGAGGATCAAACTTTTGAAGATTTGAAGAAGAAGACACCAGCCAATACTTCTACAGAAGGATTAGCAGATTGTGACCCAATTACTCCTCCAGTATATCAGGGTGATGGGGGAGATGTGCAGGAAGATAGTGTAGAGCCTGATGTTGATCTACCTGCAGGACATGTTGAGCAAGAAGAAGTTGGAGAGCAAGTTCCAACAGAACCTCAGTTGAGAAGATCTTCTAGACAATGTCAACCTTCCAAAAGATACTCTACAGATGAGTATGTGATGCTTACTAATGCAGGTGAACCAGAGAGTTACCAGGAAGCAGTTGAAAGTAAGCAGAAAGAGATGTGGTTAGTTGCTATGCATGAAGAGATGGATGCTCTTTAGAAGAACCATACTTATGATTTGGTGCTACTACCAAATGGAATGAAGGCCTTGAAGAACAAGTGGGTTTTTAGGTTGAAGACTCAAGAATATTGTTCTCAGCTAGATTGGTTGTGAAAGGCTTTGGTCAAAAGAAAGGTATTGACTTTGAAGAGATTTTTTCTCCTGTTGTTAAAATGTCTTCTATTCGTGTTACTCTTGGTATTGTTGCTAGCCAGGACTTGGAGGTTGAGCAGTTAGATGTGAAGACAGCTTTCCTTCATGGGGATTTGGATAAGGAAATTTATATGGAGCAACCAGAAGGCTTTAAAGTTAAAGATAAAGAGAACTTTGTCTGCAAACTGAAGAAGAGCTTGTATGGGCTAAAGCAAGCTCCAAGACAGTGGTACAGAAAATTTAATTTATTTATAATAGAAAATGGATATAAAAGAATGGCTTCAGATCATTGTGTGTACATCAAATGGTTTGGTGAGGATTTTATTATTCTCTTACTTTATGTTGATGACATGCTTATTCTTGGAAAAGATATGTCTAAATTTGACAGATTGAAGAAGAAACTGAATGAGTCTTTTGCAATGAAGGACATGGGGCTAGCAAAGCAAATACTAGGTATGCAAATTTCCGTGACAGAAAAATAAGAAGATTTGATTGTCACAGGAGAAATACATCGAGAAGATATTGGAAAGATTCATTATGAGCAATGCAAAGCCAGTTGGTTCTCCTCTTGCAGGTCACTTCAAGTTGTGCTTAGAACAGAGTCCGACAAGTGATGAGGAGAAGGAGAAAATGTAAAAGGTTCCTTATGCTTCAGCAGTTGGAAGTTTAATGTATGCAATGGTATGTACGAGACCAGACATCGCATATGTAGTTGGTGTTACTAGCAGATTTCTTGCAAATCCAGGCAAAGAGCACTGGGCAGCAGTGAAGTGGATTTTTAGATATCTTAGAGAGAGCTCTAAGGTTTATTTAAGCTTTGGAGGTGGACCACATGTGTTGACAGGTTACACAGATGCAGATATAGTAAGAGATATAGATACGATAAAGTCTACTTCAGGTTATGTACTTACTTTTGCAGGGGGAGCTATGTCATGGCAATCCAAGTTACAAAGGTGTATTACTCTTTCCACCACAGAAGCAGAATATATTGCTGCTACAGAGGTATGCAAAGAAATGTTATGGATGAAAGAATTCTTACAAGAATTGGGGCTGAAATAGAAAAATTATGTGGTGCATTGTGACAGCCAGAGTGCCATCCATTTGTGTAAGAACTCAATGTTTCATTCCAAGTCAAAGCATATAGATGTCAGATACCACTGGATTCGAAATGTATTTGAAGAAAAGCAGTTGCAGCTTTAGAAAATTCACACAGATGACAACGGAGCAGACATGTTGACAAAAACTTTACCAAAAGAAAGACAGGAGATATGCTGACAGTTGGTCGGCATGGCTTCACATTGAAAAGTCATGGGACAGCCTCCCTTATGGGCTGAAGGGGGAGGTTGTTGGACTGGCAGGCCACAAATTCAGCCCATAGTGGGCTTGGGCAGCCCACAGCTCACCCCCTCTTAACCTAACCTTAATTAAGATTAGGGGGTGTGGTGGCTGCATTTTGGAGGCAGAAAAAGGCATAAATAGGGCAGCAACGTGGGAAAATGTAAAAGCCACGGGATTCCAAAGAAAAGAAAGAGAAAGAAAGGGAAGAAGACAAGGACAACGTAGAGATGCTGTTCTCAATCATCTAGCAGTGTTCTCATCTCAGATTAGATCAAATCTATAGTAGACTCTTGCTGTGATTACTGATATTGTAGGCAGTGACGTGATCCTTGTATCCCAGTTGTTCTCTTGTGATTGTTGCTAGGGTTTGGGCAAGAGATGAAGATTTGTATATTCATTATTCTCATAGTGGATTATCTCTAGTTTGCCCCGTGGTTTTTACCCTTCACATTGAAGGAGTTTTTCATGTATATCTTGGTGTTCTATTTGATTGTGGTTCCATTTAATTCCGCTGCGTATTATGGTCTTCTAGTATTTATTCATATACAAAGGTTATTCCTGTTTATATCCCCATCATTCACTACAAGACTACTTTTTCTCCTCTTTAATACATTGATTTACTTGTATGCTTGAAATATAATTTATTATTAGATTGAAAAGACATATAGAAGGGAAACATTGATCTACTTGCATCTTTATTACATATTTGAAATCTGTCCAAAATCCAAGGAACTCTTAAACTAATACATAAAAGAAACTAATTATGAAGTTGCTGCCAAACTGCGAAACATAAGAACCTCCTATATCTTAGACAAGACCCTTGAGTTGATGGAAGGGCACATCAAAGCAATAGTAGAAGATCTTCTCCTTGAGATACTCCATGTCTTAGAAGACCATCGTCGATTGATGTTCATTGTCAGCATTCTTGAATTTTGTGGTATAGTGCCGTGTTTTCTCTCGGATCGATTGCCGGACTTTATCAACAAATCATCATCAGTATACTTCTTCCTTGGATGACTCCATCTCTCCTTCATTGGTTTAAGTAAAGTTTCTTCTCTCGACGAAAATGTACTCCGAGAATCCATCACTAACGGGTTGTAGAAAGCATCGCTGATACTTTGGACTAATGCAGTAGGCGAGTCAAATGCATTAGTTGTATCGAAGAGCATTCGGAATGACTTGAAAGTACCTAAATGTAGCTCCTTCCATTCGTTAGGAAAACCAGCGTACGCATCATCCATATAAATCTCAAGGAACTCTCTTTCCTTTCTCTCAATTATTTTGCTAATGTGCTCAATTGAGTCTTCGTTAGTAGCCCCTTGGTTCTCTTTGACATACAGGAGCACCATATTGAACTTACCACCATGTATTTCTTTCTGGAAGAGATTATTACGTACAAGTAAACAACATATATAAATGGATGGAAATGAAATATAGAGGGATATATAAAGCGAATGTTGCAAACCTGGTAACTGTGGATGTCATTCAACAAGCGCGAGGTGATCATTGTCAACTTGGTAATGGGACTATACCGAGAGGTTAGTATGTGCTTTGGAACTTGGGGAATCACCAAGAAGCATGCCGGAAGAGTCATGACTTGTATGGCTATAGAGATCGCGGCAACCTCAAGATACTCGGTGATCGTAGGCGCGTGTCTTTTCCTACTCCAATCGGATTCCTTTAACCACGACTCAAATGTCTCTCGCCACTTCAAACACAATAAATTTTGTTAGTGGTTGAGCTAACACACACAGTTAATCGCCAGATAGACAAATGAGACAACCCTTACCATATCTTGAAGAAGGCTTTTTGCATCATAACCGTGTTGACTGAGAGCTTTGAAGGAAATATCACGAACAAGGTTATCAAGGGCATCAAAAATAACTTTGCAATGGCCGGATAAGCCTTCTCCTTCCCACCTGTTATAACTAACAAGTTAGATGACTAGAAATCTTGAACGGTAAACTGTCTTTGTAACGTTGGATTGATACCCTTGAACTGCTTTAGTAAGGCTCTCCAATTCATCCTCTGAACCTTTCTCATCAAAGAAGTCATCGATCACTGTAACTAAAATTGCACATCGTGCAACTACTTTGCGTAGATCAGATTGCAAAGGAAGAGTAACTGCAGTAGCAGTTAAAAAGTAACAGGACGTTGTTTTCTCCCGACCGAAGCCCATGCTGGAAAGTCCACTGTCTTTTGACCACCTAAGTATTTTAATTGATACCAAATATGAACAAAATTAGAGATGCCGTGCATGCAATCTTCGAGAATTCAGTAGTAGTAGTTTTGATGCATTACTTCTTTAACTCCTCGAGTTCAGATTCGTAGAGCATTTGACGGTTCGTGAAAAGTTCGGCAGCAAGTTGAATGGCAAATTTGGAATCCAGGAGGCTGCGCATGTACGTGCATTCACATGTTAACAGCGTTGTTGAGTGCAAGAATAAGAAGAAGAAAACTACTTATGCAAAACCTGCATGAAGAAGTCTTCCCCATCTGTAAGTTATATCCTTTACTTCTTTCCAGGTACATTCGATGCTCGAGGTGGTCCATTCGAGATAGCCATGGAAGTCCCAACTCATGCTCAATCTGTGCAGCCATATATGGAACTTTATGGTTCCTTAACTTTTATTCCAATAAAATTTATGCTATCATTAAACTTTGCTCTATGGATTAACATACAGTAAAATTAAATATATCAAATATATTCCAATAAAATTTTTCACTGAGATTATTAAATTCAACATATAGATTCTGAATTAGAACATGCAATTGCTAGTATGCAACAAACATTTAGCTTCTCAAAAAGTCCACCCCAAGTGCCATAGGCTCTTTTACCTGTTTTTGGAGGTCAGTCATAATTGCAGGATTATTCCTGGTATCTGATCCAGACAAACTTTTCTGAAGTATCTTTTCAGAGAAAAGTTTGGCATTATGAAGCTCAACTTCCCTAGGAAACATAAAGTGTGCTGCCCTATAAACACCAGTCATGGCCACCAAGAATTGAGTGTAATTTTCTTCGATATGTATCAGCATCTCTTCATCGTCCATAAACCAACAAAACTTTCCTACACAAGTTAATAATTTCTTTAGAGATGATTCACCGGGGAATAATAGTTCAAATGTTCACAAATTTCAACTAAATTTGGATAAATCTTACGGGGAGATACGTCATATCCATGCATCCTCAGAAGTTTAAAGGCTAAAGAGTCTTTCTGTATCTGTAGAGGTAAATCGTATATGTTGCACGATTGTAGATCTTGAATAACCCAGTCACTGCATTAGATGCCAAGCTACGGTTGTTAGTGTTTCGTTTGTCGAGATAGATACAAGGAAA